TCATTTTCCAAAGAGTTGAAGTACAAATTAGCAATGTGTGGATGAGATTTCAGTCAATAAATGGTCATCTCATTACGTTCTCGGAATAACACAAGTTGAGTTGGTCATAGCTTTGCAAAACATTAATTCGTTGCGTTTTCTGCATATTCGCTTTTCTTTTGTACTGAATGATTTTTATTCGTTCTCTGTTCTATGTTCACAACTTTATTGGAGTATGTTCATAAGTTTATTGGATATTTCAGCAATTCTTCTAATTTGAACTTTACGCTTGACGACCATCCATGTGTTTTTTTCATACAATTTCTGCTTTGCGTTTTCAACATTTGAAAATAATATAGCACCTTCCATTATTATCCGACATTGAGAAGGTGCTTTCGTAAGAGAACAGGCAATGGAAGGCTCAGTTAGTGACTACGTTTTTCGATTTTTGTGCACCGCTTTGGTGATTTGTTTTAGTGCGTAGTGCAAATTTCGTCGTTTTGAAGATAATTATACAAGAGAAGTTGGGTTGATAGAAGAATGGAACAGTTGCTGAAAATGATGCACGATATTTACGTTAGTCGAATGACGTGACACAGTCAAATTAATACCTACTCTGTTCACTAAGAATATGAATTCCTTAACGCTATAATACGTTAAAGTGCGATTTATTGCTAAAAAAGTACGATTTATTGCTACAAAAAATGTTCGGTTGCTGTGATGGCATCACTAACTCTGTAAGGAAAGAAGCCTGCCTTATTGCCCGAGTGTACATTTTGTTAGTAATAAATGAGATAGTTCGAATAAATGAGACAGTTTTTAATACGAAAATTCAATCAATCAGATACCTTTACTGTCATGCCAGTTAGCCATTTATTTATCTGCTGAGAACACACTAACTTGTGGATGACTTTGAAGATGTCATTACCATACGAAGAAATGTTACTGAACGTTGTTGCATGCAGGGGAATTCCACCTATGAAGAGTAGCTTTGATGTCTTACTCAATAGGCTTATCATTCCGAATTTAATATTGTATCAGGAAGCGGGATCCATTTAATTGTAAAATTTTGATTGTCGGCATGACCGAGAGTAAAAACAGCATAAATTATAGAAGAAATGATCATGGAATTACGGAGTCGTCCGTAATTTATGACGAATTACCGGTGTTGTACTGGTGTGCACACCGTTTTTGGAAGATCCAGAGGGTGTGTATTCGATTTAGCGCTGATCCAAAATCTTTGTTGAACTCTGTTATGGTTTTGAGGAAAATTTAGAAGGGAGAGGACAATTAAAGATTTTGACACTTCCCCCGGGGTTATGTTTGCAAAACGCTCTAGGCAATTAAATGATGCAATCAACTTTATTCGATGTTTTGAAGTATTTTGCCGAAGAAACTAGAATTTGCGTGTATTTAATTAGCTGTAAATGATCAGTTCTGTAATGATTTTTGCGTGTAACACAAAAGTGACAATATTTTTTCCTAAACAGAGGAAAGCGTAAGCAATCTGTAAACGAAATATCCTCTCAATATATGCTCTACTTCAACTTTTTATAAATATTTGAAATAATGTTGCCAAAATGGAAACGTTGAACTGTAAAAAGTTAAGCCCGTTCGCAAAAGTATCTTCGTAATATTGCTTAAATTTGATGCAACTTGTATCCCACGTGAATTTTGATGAGAAGATTGAATCTTTTTCTTTTTTTTTTCAGTAGTTTTTTAAAGTGATTTTGAGCGATTCGAATATCACAAACTGAGATGTATTATTGTTGATTATCCATCCATCGATGAGGATACGAACAGTGTGTGGTATGCTTTTTCGTTATATAAGCTGAAATTATTATGTAATATTCATTTCACGTTGAAATTTGATCTTCTTCGTTTTTAGTTGCACTCTTGTTTTGGACAAGCTTCAGTTGAAAAATAGTGAGACACCTACATAAGTATTTGGTATGTGGGTGAAATACACAAGTGCTGAGAATGAAACATGCATCGAGGAAATTGCTTTGAATGTTGACAAAGCCAAGAAACCTTTAGAAAATCACACTGATTTTAGAAAACTTGCTTCGTAAAGCAACATCATTACACTGATTGTGAGAGATGGAAAACTAAAAATCGTTGATTTGAATGATGAACCACGAGGAATGAAGAAAGGCAGAGTATAAAGGATAGACAGAGTTTCTGAAAACCATCTTTTATTCAGCAACACACTTTGTGATTAGTGCTTTAGATAAGTGAAACAACTTTACGCTTCCAAGCTGATTCCATTGTATCATTAGTCTCATTCCTCCAAAGCTCTAGTAGCATGCGAAGAGCGTGAGAACATGAGAATCATGGATATGAGATGGTGAAATTAAATAGGAGATTCGTTTTGCATCAATTCTTTCGTTAATTCGTTGGCGATATTATATACGGAAACCATTCTGATCCTTTTTCATCTCTATTCATGTGGAATTTCAATTGCGATTGATTTGCGATATTTTCATTTTCCTCTCACATTCACTTCTTTCTGAAGATATTTATTTATGGACCGATGAATTGCGATTCAGCAGACTGTAATTGATGTAATTTGACTTCTGATTCTTTGGCGTTATTGGCAAAACACTGCGGTCATCAGCAAACAATAAATGCGATGATTCTTGCGTCGATATTAATAATGGTATCCCGATTTAAGTCATTAGAAAGCGCTTCAAATGCTTCCACAAATAATTCTTTGGATATAACATCGCCTTGGCTTGCATCTTTTCAATTAGGATTATACATGGTTCACTTAAACAGCATAATATTAGTTGATCATCGATAACTGAGTTCTTGTGGTATTTTAGCTTAACATAGAACACAATTATTCAAAGCAGTTGCGACGAATTTAACTTTATCAAACTGTTATTGAAAAACGCGATCAAAATTCTAAATCAATTTTTAAAACATAATTATCACTTAAGCAGCACGAGTTGCGCAGAAAATATGTATTTAACTGATTACAAGTCAGTGATTTTAAAACGAAAACCTACATCTAAAAGTTGCCATAGGTTCTCACTGACATCTTATTATTTCTAACACATTCTCATCTCTTTTCTGCACTGTTTTTTTCTGAATCTGCGTTTTATGAGAGCTCATGTGCATTCCTATCAATGATACTTAAGCTCTGAAGCCAAAAGAAACTTTTTTTGGCTCCCTCAAAAGAACATCGCAGCAGCATTCAGTAGCTGTACTTGAAATCGGCACGATGATTCATTTTCCGGATCCAGATTGCTGAACAAAAACAGGGCAAAGCAAAAACTGGAGTTGGAGCTGAAATTTTAAAAATACAGAACTGCAGCCGAAGCCAGAGTCGAAATTCTGAATCTTTAGAAAATTTTAAGAAAATGCAGAGCTCAAGCTAAAGCAGGATCTGAAATTCTAAAAAGTGTGAAGCTGGAACAGGAGCCGAACTTTCAAAAGATGTTGAGCCAGATCTGGAGTCAGAATCGGAACTGAAAATTTTAAATTATATGGAGACGGAGGCGAAGTTGAGTGAATTTTTTTAACTTAGGCGCCTCACTGATTTATAATTACATTGTAGTAACTGTTCGTTATAAGCGAAAAAGTTTTCAAATAAAGTAATCAAGGAATATTAATTGTCTTTGCAACATGCGGAATAATAATTTCAAATTTGGAAATAATCCTGAATTAATTCGAACGGCTTATCTCAACGTACGTTTAGCAAAAGTTTATGTGCATATGGTTACTGGCACAGTTGTACACGGAATGAAATATGCAGCTATCTCAGAGTAGCAGATATTTGAAGGAGGGTAAAAGTACAGTAGTTTACCAGTTTTCCAGAGGGAGTGCAGGTACAGTAGTATACCAAAAACTTCAGGCAAAACGTTATCACTGAGCATCTTCAAGGGTAGTACATATCACAACAGTTATTAGAACAAAAAATTGTTCTAATACCACGAGAATGATTGTCTTTCGATACGAGACGTGCATATTCCAGTGAGAATGAATTTATGCCACGAGTGTATGACTGGTGAATAGTTCAAAATCATCCAGCAGAAAGATCTTGTCTATGCCATCAACACATAAAAGATTGATATATGCTCCCGTAATGTTTGTCCAAGAAGAACCTCAATATTTTGCATGGAACTTATATAACCTTACGACAGTGAATTCAAATTCAGTTGCAAACTGCTGTCTGGGAAAAGTTTCATTCGTTTTTTTCCCATCGAAAAACTGACTGATAATAATATGCTCCAATCAATCCTTTAAAATAACGTTGTTGATGCCATAAATTGTTCTGCAACAATCACTGCTGTCACGAAACGAGTCGCTGTACTAGTTCTGTCCAGTGTGTTCTCAGAAAGTGAACAAATTTTACAGATGACCGCTCAGTCATTCGAATCGCGACTGCTGCGAAAGTGCGAAGAAAAGTTCGGCAGATCAATGGATATTCCTGAATGCCTTCCGATTCTATCACAAGTAATCGAACTCGAAAAGCAAGGCGTTTACAAGTGCACGACAGCAAATAGTTCTCGTTTGTTTCTGTCCTTTTTTCATCTTTTCAGTTTTTCGCTCTCTCCAGAAGTTGGCCGATAAAAATCGTCAGTTCGATTCATGTCACTCATAGTTCGATTCATCTAATTACCAATGATGAATATCATCATTGGTAAGTGTTGCGAACGTCAATGATGAGTGAAACTTCATGTCATTAGTTTTTTTTGGGTGCATCTGGACCATTCAGAATCGATACTCAGGATAACGTACTTTTTTTTCTGGTCAGCTGGTAGACAAGAAAACGTGTTCGAAACATGAATTTCTCCAGTATTTGGGATGGTCTAATTGAAGCAGTTGAACCTAGTTTGTGCTTATCGCCAGTAACTTCTCTTGTATTACACAGCGTATCAACTATAAAAAGGTTCACCTAAGATGATCGTTTCTGCAGAATTATGCCCAGGGTATTCATACGGTCAAAATAAAGACAAATATGATTGTTCATTTTTCAGTATCTTAATGATTTGGACGAATCACTTTTTTCAGTACGTACGTGTGCACATAATGTAGAATATGATTCCGAATGCGGTCAATTTGAGAGGTACATCAACCAATTTGCAATGCCATTTTTGCAATTACTATGTCTTTCTGGAAACGTTCTGAATCTACTTATATATCGACTTCCTTACTTCGATGGCAGCTCTTCAGTACATTTCTTAAGAGCGAAGGCACTCGCCAACCTGGTATTTGTGCAGTCCAGACTTCTTGAAGTACATTCATATCTTTCTTCAACCTTCTTGTCATTTTTTTAAAACATAATCTGAAGCAGCATTTCATCCGGTTAAATAGAAACAATAGCTTTCGATTTCAAATTCAATAGAATTTCTGCAACCTTGCATGAACAATTGTTCAAAATAAATGCGAATTTTTCATGTTTTTCGTAGTGTAATGTTTGTTTCTTGTGAACGATTTGGTGCATATCAAACGGCCGTTTCGAACACAGGGAGTAGGGTGAGGGGATGAGTGCTTGGTTAGGTATAGGGATGTAGACTGTTGATAAAGGAAAAAAACAAGAGCATGTGAATGGCGACGATTTCCTGTAAATGATAGTTTTGACTGAATGGAATTCTAGCATGCATTACGTGACACGAACGAAAGTCAGTCTGGTTCGAATGAAACTTGTGACTATATTTATTACTCATTAGTTAAACTACTAAGACATTTCATCTCACTACAAACTGATCTTAGAAATTCTCGTAGACTGAAAGACCAATAACTCGAGCGCACTGATTTATTCAGATCAGTCGTTAACTTTTGTGGATGATGATTCTCTAGAGCTGTGAATGACTGCAGTTCTCTTACGTATTATATGTTCTGTGTTTCCTGTTGTTAGTTCATCCATTTTATTCACCTCCAACGATGCAGTAGGATAATATTGATTTCTCCTTCCAGGTTATTCATGCCTGGACACTGGAACCCCATGATTCATTTGAGCCTCTTTATTGGCAAACGAAACCGTTCGTTATTACAGCTGCCAATATCAGTGGAACGATTTCGACTTGGTAAGTAGCTTTAAACTTAAGCTCAATGAGCATTTCAAAAAAAAAAACTGATTTTACCGTCCAGTTGAATTGAGTTCACAGCGAAGGATGATTGGAAACTGAAAATTCATGTTGAATGCTGTGAAATTTAAAAGTGTATTTCATGCATCATTGCTTCATTATTAAATTTCATTCGCGTAACCCAGTAAAAATATGCAATAAATTTGGAAACTTATTTATTCGAGTATTGATTATTTCATTCATCTAATGAATAAATACTTCAGGATGACTCTTCTGGTGACAATCGAAACTGTTTTATGCGTGCTTATGCCATTTCATTTTCGACAATTCTGCACCAAACGGCTCACACTAATATTATTATTGTCATCTGTTTTTCTCAGTTCAACATTACATCTAACATTTATATACACAAATTCAGTAATTGAGACACCAATCATCCAAGAAATACGTTCAAATCCGTCGACCAGCTGCTACCGACTCATGGTTCGGTATTCGATGCAGATTTCCTCTGGTGCTGTCTATGAAAAGCTTTATTATTGGACACAGTTACTACTGTCAATCGTTATTCCCACAATTGTGATGCTGATCTGCTCGGTTTTGATCGTTACACAATTTACATTCAAGGTTCCTTAGTTGTTTCGCGTAAACAGCAACTTCCAAGCTTACTTCATTCAAAATTCCAATAGTCTGGCTAATTATGAACGATGATCAATCACACTGACTAATCGAATTGGTCTGTTTTCCCAAATTGCATCCGATGAGAATTAATCGCCCTAGTTCGCTGATCTCGAATGCAGAAGACTATAATTTTTTTGAAAGTACTGCCAAAGACGCATTAAAGCGGAAAATGGGTTGAACATTTCAATCATTACCTGTTTTTGTCCAAATCAGTTTGGAGAACCACTCGAGCGTATTTTTGTGAAAGAATTTAGGGGTTTATAAATTAACTGATTGTGCATATTGGTAAACTGTATTTGGGAGAAAGGTATATTTGAGAGCGAGGAATTTACGACGGGGAGTGGAACATATGCGTCCCAATTTTTTTCAGGTGTGATTTAGTAGGGCAGAAGAATTGTTTGATAAATTACGGCACTTTCCTTACCTTCACTAAGTGGTGCTGTAATTCAGGAATTAGGTGAAGCGTTCAGTCAACGTCGAAAGTGTGTTATAAGAATGACAGTTGCAACAACACTTTCTCATCTTCTGCTCGAAGGACCAGCTTTATTAACGTTCGGTGCTGCTGCACTCAAAGGTACGCCATTCGACCGTGTTCGTCTTATTTCTCTCCTACTTTCTGAATTGAATGCTGTCGTTTCAAACTTTGGTTGATCGCGTCAAAGTCATTTGCCCATTAAAAATCCATGAAAAGTCCCCTCATTAGTGTTCCGATATGTAATGTCTTACTAACACGTTTTTCTGATTTTATGCAAATGTACTCGTACTGGATAGACAGATAGTAACTGTTTCGTCCTACTTGGAGCGTCATGAGCACTTTCATGCTCATGCCATCCCAACAAGCAGTTTGGTATTTTCGAGGGAATAGCTCCTGCTGTATTCACTTATTGAAATATACCTAGCCTAGTGACTACAACCAATATTAGTGCGTTGTTCCCAGTGATGCAGAATTTTGGAAAAAGTGGCGCAGTTCATGCTGTCATGTTTGCCCAGAATTGCTCGCTTGCTGCTCTCCTTACGATAAAAGTGCTTTTGCGATTGCTTGCTCATCGCTCATGGTCGTGAGCACGAGCTGCTCAATGCTTCTGCTTACATTTTGCTCAAGCGCTCATAAACACCCCAGCACTAGTGACTGGGGCACTTGCGATTTTTTAGCAAAGGTATTGCTCGCGATCTGATCAAGAGTTTTTTTAGCTGCTCATTTTCAACGTTCTCTCTTTGAGCAGAATTGCTCACACTTCTCACCATAAAGAAGTCGCTAGCTGACTGCTCATGTTCGCATTTTGCTGATGTGTTCATGAATCCCCTTTTCTATTCACTCGATTCGTGATCTTGACTCAGCTGTGACGTTCCAGGCTCGGGCAGTGCCAATCATAACACAACAATGTGCATGCTAAATCATGGCAACAACCTGCTGTCAGTGTTGAATGCAACAATACCATTCTTCGTATTTTTGGCGTGTAACGAACAATTTCGACACATGACATGTATTTATGTGAAAGCACATCTGATACTGAATCAAGCAAGAAAACACACATTTATCGCCGAAACTGCATGTCGACGACAACGAACCACGACAACGTTGCAAGGCAGACCTGATCCTTACGAACCACGTTTACTACTCAACAGCAATCAACACTCATTGCTCGTCAAAACTTTCACCAGATAGCATATCTCAAAACAGTAAAGCTTTACTCTGAACATTTTCGATCGGTTCGACTTCATCACTTGCATATTCTGTTGCATTTTCACTCTTCACTGATGATCAATGACTATTCATTTTGTGCTAAATAACATCGATTCTGGAACCTCATTTTCGATTATAATTGCAAAAATGGCAGAAAGATTCCGCAAAGTTCCTTACATCCCCTGAGAACCGGCTGTTGGTCTAATACAATGCAGCTAACCATAAGACCGAACTGGTAGCGCATTCTAGATTGGTCGTAGCAGTGAACGGCATGTTGAATGTCAATATTCAGGCATTAAAACATATATGAAGACAAATTATAGTAAAATTGATAATGGTGTTTCGACTGATTTCCTTAATGAAATTATCATTTTTCACACAGAGACCTCTGGAAGTCGCAAATTATAAACAGTGCCGTGGTTTTGCTCAAATCAGTGATGCTTCTGTACGACAGTTCATTTGAACTATTTTCCCCTCCTTCGTCTCAGTTCATTCTCTGTATAGATTAGTGTGTTAGGAAGAAAAAAAAGTCAAAGATGAAATTTCGCAGTCGAAGATCACGCCGCCTTCAGAAATGTCTGAGACGGGGTCCTCGAAATTCGCCGTTCCCCGCAACACATTACTTTGACCCGTATCAGCCCTACTCATTTGAAATTCATCCGTTTCGTACTCTTCCACTACTTTTATGAAGCTGCTAGCTAATAGTGGTAGTAACGGTTTTTCTCGCACTGTGTTATTTTGCATTGTCATATTTATTCAGATGCTTGAATTTGTGCCCTTTCATTTGCCTATTTTTTTGTTCAATTTCTTTGCAGAAACGAAATCTTCTAGGTAGCACAAGTGCGTCACATTCTGGTTGGAGGTTCATCGTAGATTTATCACTGCATTTCACACAAATCGAAAGAAACTTTTAATGATTGACGTTTAGAGCATCCTATAACGATTAGTGCTGAACAAAGCAATACCAGACTAGAAATACTATGAGAAACAAAAATTGAAACGCACATGTCCGCACAAAACCCGTATAGGTATATAATAACAACAAGCAAATGTTGATAAAAACGATAAGCAACATTCTGTATGATTCAAGAACGTTTCATTCAATTGAATTTCCACATACCCCAAGTAGATGTGAACCATAACTCAAAGGTTAAATCATGGCCTTGGAGATATCAAAATGAGGCCAACACAGTTTGAATCTCTGCATTACGACGACCAACCGACTCACGGTAATACGACATCCGTATAACTGAACCGACAAAAAGAATTCGTTCATTCGAAACAGCGCGATTCTCGTAGCTCGAATGCGATTGAATTCGGAGTTATAAATTCTACGAGAATCGTCGCACAATCTCAACGTTGTGGAAGTGCTTGCATCCTGACGAATTTTGATTACTTGCCGTAAATATAGTACAAGAACGATAAATTATGCCGCTTACACAGGTTATTCATTATTGACTGATGCAGAAATTCATTTGACTTTGATACCCTAAGGTATTTCCTAGTGAAGCGCAGTTGGTCGAATTCCGGGAGTAAAACATGAAGTAATAAATTACATAAATGCATATATCGCATGATGAACATTCCTAAGACTTTGCCATAATAAAAGCATCATAAAAATCATATATGATGCAACAAAAATGGTCGGGGCTTCGTTACTTTCCCATGCAGACGTGGTAGGCTCACAATGTTCTGAAATAGAAACTTTTTAAAAGTATATTTTTCTTACAATGGCTGAAAGCTTTTCAAGTGATACCTGGAGTTATATCATGATTGAATTTTGAAAGTCTTTTAGTCATTGGTTTCTTTGAAGTTGAAAATGGTTTTCAAATATACTATAAAAAATTGGACAATTTGAAGTACTGAAATATTCAAAAATAACCGAATTCTGAAGCATTGAAGTCGTATTGCGGAGCTGAATGTTGAAGAACCTGCGGATGACAAGCAAGATGTCTGTACGAACGAATCCTTGCTGCACCATTCGCCAGCAACGAGTACATCTTTATGATATTAAAGCTTTTTTTATGATACAGCAAAATGCAATTCGAACTCGAAAAGCGTGAAACACATTTTCTTTCTGTCATTCGCCAAATCATTTACGCATAAGCGCGCTCGATTCGCTGAATGCCCACTCATCACGCCAAATAGCTACTTGCATTGTTATTCGAGTAAGACTGTTTATCGTTGACACCATACATTTTTTCTCTCATTTACAATTTTCACATCGGTAATGAGCATTCATTTGGCAATGAAAATTCAATGTACAGTCACATTACTTACATAACAGACTCGTTTTTTGGTGTCGCTCTCCTCCGCGATCATATAGTGCACATCGTTCTCAGTCCAATGACCACGACAGACCAGTTCATCTGAAGTTAGCATTATGTTCCGACGATGGTAAACCTCACAACCTTTGCCATTGAATTGCTAGCAATATGCAAACGAGAAGCTAAAAACAGAACAAATTGTACGATGGCAGAACGAAACAGAACAAAATGTTGATCTAGATCAGTGGTTCTCAACCCTTTTTGTCCCTTGCGCCCTTTTGAAAATTTTAAGATGCCTCCGCGCCCCCTAAACCAATAATTTCTTTAAGAATGAAACGCGACCAAAAGAATTATTGTTGAAGGATTAACACAAGGTATGTCTTCGACTACTTTACGGCATAAAAAATAAAACCTCATCTCGCACCCCCTCCTACACTCCTCACTCACACCGTCTCATCGTACCCACTCTCGCGCCTCACCCTCGCTCACCTGGCATGTCACATCACACCTCCAGGGCACACGTGCACTCCCGGTCGAGAAACTCTGATCTAGATGGAATGAAATGAGCTCATTTGACGATAGCTCTCAGCTTTCATCCAAATTCAATAATCAACTGACGAGTGCGATTCGAGTTACAATAAGGTCGAAGCTGAATGCTGTGCTCGTGTGGGCACCCGATACGTACAGACGACATTGGACAATCCGATCGGCTATGTCGACCTTTCACGGGACATTTCTCAACCTAGACATGAAATCGTATCAAATTAAAGTAAATCGCGACGAACTTATGAACGTCAAGTGACAAATTTTCAGCGAACAATTCACTACATTAATTATCTTTAAAATTAAACATTTTTGATAGCACGAAAGAGGATTTTAACACAAAACGTATGTTCTAACATCATGTCCTTCCAAAAGTAAGGTTTCGATTGTTTCTGGAATTATATGTTCACAAGCTTCAAATTCACTGCTGCACATTTTGCTTCTTATTACATCAATGATATTCTTTTTTCGTTTGATAATCTGAAACAAATCAAACACGGTGTTACGGTCATAAAAACAACTGTAATGCTTATATGGATTTCAATGAAAAAAGGCGGCATATTATTACGAACAGAACCAAAAATTAGACACCTTGACGCACTGATATCCAGATGTGCATCCATTAACAGCATGAACAATGAACTTATGTGCAATTCCGAGATTTTCCTCGTCAATGCAAATAGAAACACTTTTATTCTGCCGATGCCATTGTTCGATCCATTCATCTGCAAACATTTTGAAAGCATTACCGTAATGAAAATTGCTTTTGAAACAATTTTTGATGACTTTTAACAACACTATCTAAACTATAACAACACGTCTTGATAACGATAAGCTACTGAATAGAAACAGACAATTTGATATCAGAAAATTGTTCCTTGTTCTTTAACATTTGATATCACAAAATTGTTCCCTAAAATTAACGTGGAATGCATAATTCAAAACAGTGAAGCATATTAAAAATTAACCGTTATTGAATTGGTGAACAAACTCGGTCACAATTGATTTCCATAATCGCGGAGTGTCAGAGTTGTGATCGTGAATGAGGAACGATGGAAAACGGCAACGAGATATTACTGGAGTATCTGCAAACTGTCACTTTCATGAATATATCCATGAGGGTCAGCTGCTCTAGGAAACTCTTTTTCGGGAATCGAACGTGAATAATGTCCAAGTCGTGCTCGAGCACGAAATCGTGAACTGATGTTTACGGTTCTCGAACTGAGAGCTTCTTAACACTCCAACATAACTTTTGATAAATGTGGTGTTAGACTGGGGATCAATCATGCTATTTTCGAAATGAATATTGTGGCGTAAATACATCACGCATTCAATATTTTGCGATCGCATTTACCGTCTCTATAGGACAGTATTACTATTTAAAGTCATGAAAGTGTACAAAAGGAAAGATGCATGCGAGTGAAGTCATAATGCATTGATCATTTGAGCTGTGAAGCATTAGCACCTTGTTGAGATCTGACTGACTAGAAAAATGTTGCATACCCTGCTTATATTTAAGTATTGTATTCGCAAAAGAGATGTCTGTCAGTTCATTGCAACTAGCATCAGCCGAGATGCCCATCCGACCACCTGAACTAGCTCGTTCGTGAATCTTAAAAAATATTCGCAGTGATATGCGTTTAATGACCGCAACAGTTGTGCTAAAAAGGAATCCTTGGAAATGATATTGAGAATATGAAAAGAATGAAATTAACTTCATGGACATTGCAATGAAGACAATGTCCTATCTTTCAGCAAAAAAAGCTTGAATACTTCGATTCAAAGCAGATCACAGATAACCCAAGTCCACTTGCATTATGCAACACCTTATTATTCGACACCTGCTTGAAAACTGTGCCAACACTCATACGAAAACATCATTACATTTGTTTCAGCAGCGATAAGACTGAATTATGCACACTACGGGTGCGTTTAAACAAAATTATGCGAAGCAATAAAACACGAGATTGTGGCAAAAATTTGCGTTTGAATTACTTCAACTGCTTGAGTTTATATTCGATACGACTTCAAAGTGAACTTACAATGCAGCGAAATCTTGATGACGGATTCGGAGTGATACCGTTAGTTATTTTAGCTGAGAAATATTCAATGCCAAACGAGTTCCACTTAGCAATACATTCAATGTGTTCGGCTGCAAGTTTTTATTTCTGAATTAATTCAGTACTCATATTAATTCAGCATTATTATGAACATTAACATCGATATTTGCTTAAGCTCTCATTCAGAAACTGCTTTGTACATACTTATTATAAACTACATGATGGATTCGTGCCCAAGAGCGACAATCCTTAGTATCAATGATAACGCTTTTCGAACCATTGTTGCACTGCTTCATCATTGGTTAACTCCTCAGTTCTACATCATTCTCATAAATTAGTCAACAAATAAAAACGAGATCACTATGTTGGAATTGTTTGTGAAACTACTGATTTTCATAATCCTGAGTCATCCTATTATCCATATTACGTTTCGAAACCATGAGATGAGCCAGTGGTTCACACGCCCTTGCACTCTTTGCAACCTTTTAACCTCGTAGCGGATTGTCATTTCTCTTCCAGCAATCTATTTAGTTCCTCTCTTCCCTTTAAACAACCTATTTCTGGAATTGATATGTAGAGAGGAAATCAAAAAGTTGATTCAATCATGAATAAATTTGTAATTAAGCGTTTGTTGGTGGTACGAAAGGAATCGATTGCTTGTGTTTAAAAACAAGCATTTTGAAAAAATTATCGAACGGCTATGGAAAAAACATGAAAAAAAATCAGTCGATATTGATTTCCTAACATCCTCAATGTTCTTCCACTCTAACATCTTCAAGTATCCTCTAGGAGGAATTTTCCCCTACGAGAACCATTGAAATAGACGGATGGAGTGAATGTGATAAGAGTGAATGATGTGAATGCGTGAACCATTCTAAAATTGAAAGTGAAATATGTATTCATAGAAATCTGTTCCATTATGCATTCAAATATTCAGTTTTCGATGAATTTCGAAGGCAGCTGATAACTACCTATTAACGACGCTGAAGCTTGGTTTGCACTGAAACATGTTAGATGTTGTTCATTCTCAAGTACATACCATGCGTTTCCGTATGTGCTATTTCTGGACATGCCTGATACTGGAATCGATAGCGGTGTGGATTCGCACACACTGTGACTGTAGATGTGCGCGATGTACACGGGCCATCCGTGACCAGATAAGTGAAATTTAATGGAGCTTCGAATGGGCAGCGTTCAGAGCTGGCATTCACTGAAATATTCGATTCATGTTTTCGCTCAATATAGCAATATGAAAGAGAAAGTAATCTAAATCTTATAGCATTATCTTCGACTCGAATGCGGAAGTAGAGCTTTGATAAGTACGATGGGGCTGAATGAAGTGAGATGCTTAAATCTGGTTTAACACCCTTAGGAGATTGAGTTTGTGCATTGAGAGACATTGTCAGATGCTATCAATCTATGCTGACTGAAATTCGGAGATGGCATTCTCTTTAACGTGGAGTACTTCCTTGATTGAATCTGATTAGGACACTGGTGAGGCATTCATTCGTATTGGTGAAAACAGCATTCGCTATTTGATGAGCAAACGATATGATTATGCTCGTGTGACCTTAATCATAATGTCCTACTTATCTGATCTGCCAGTCTTGATCACATTATTACACGCATCATTACGCGAGCTGCTCGTTTCAACTTTCACTCACTTTAGTTATTTCTGTCTCACTTATA